TTTTTTTTTTTTTTTTTTTTTTTTTTTTTTTTTTTTTTTTTTTTTTTTTTTTTTTTTTTTTAAATTTTAAAAAATATTTTAAGCCAAATATTGTTTTTTTTTTTTTTTTGCATCATTTTTTTTTTTTCGAATTTTTTTTTAGGATTGTTTTTTTTTGCTTTTTCGTAAGGGGGCGTACAAGACGAACAGGTTTCCATACAGGTTCCCATACAGATCCCGTACATATATTATCTGTACGTTTCGTACGGAAAGGCCTCGTACGTGTACTGTATGCAACGTAGGTTTATACTAGTATTTATGTTATATGTAGAGTAGGTGTAAAAAAATCCAGTATGATGCTAAAAGGTGTAATGCTACTCTTACCGCTTAGTTAAATTAAATCCTTCAAAATATAGCAGTTAAAGCAGGGTTATAATTAGTATGTGTTTGATTGCCGAGCAGAGGATTGAATAATAGTGTCTGTACTGCACGAATGCATTTTAGTGTGCTAGCAAGCGTATGCTTTATCATAGCATAGATGTATGTATGTAGCATATATGTAGTTTACTAGTGTGGGAGTTCCATATGGTATTTTTGGAAGAGTGAATACAGGTACGGGGGGAGTGGGGGGTGGGGGGTGGGCGTTGGGTTGATCGTGTGGTATGGTGGGGGAAGGAAGCACGGGATTAGTGTGGTGTGGTTAGTATGTTGTCCTGCAAAAAAGTAAGGATCACAATAGATTACAAGGGATCAAATAAGTGGTCCGTCAGCGAGGGAATCAGCCCTAGCTTAGCAACAGGATGCAACATCCGAGAGTCTGTGCAGTGATTGTGTATAATACGGCTACCCCATATACAATGGAGAACCAGACCATGTATCTGTCCAATCGTAAACTTGCGACAAGTTAGCAACAGGCTTAACACATATTGGGTTTAAGAGGGGAAATTTAGTCGTCAACTCCATAACATGCAAATGCATGTTAGTTCTGCATCATCAATTAGGGGGGAGCAAATTAGAGGTTAGGCTAGGGTTAGAGGTGATTGTTGAAGACAACCATAGCGGGGGTGCACGCACTGAAGCACGCTTTTCGCTTCTTAGCACCCATAGCAGCTCGTCAGAGGGAGAATGATCCATATTAGTTAGCAGATGGGGAGGAGGACTGGAGTAAGAAAAGAAGGTAGGGGGGTTTAAAAGGGTTTATAGGCGGGTATGTTTGAGCAGTAACATACCTGTGAGCGAAGTACCTGAGAAGAAGAAGTT